GAAGGACTTGCATATTTCCAAGGCTATTCACACATCTTTTATTGAAGTGACTGAAGAAGGTTCTGAAGCAGCTGCAGCCTCGGGTATTGTGCTGTATTAAATCTCATAAATATTTTGAGTCTTACACATTGATTCAAAGAATGTTAAAAGCTCTAGTTTCTTGTCACATTTTGATTTATTTCTGTGTCCCCTGTGCCAGTGTGTAATGTCTTTATTCATTATATTTATTGATATTAGGGAATAGAAATTTGTCTTTGGCATTAGTGGAAAAATGGATATTTAGGATCAGCTGTCAATTGTATGCAACACCTTGTGTTCTGTTCCATTGCAGTTAATGGAACTGAATATCAGGTTCTGGGTATAATGGGCAGCGAGCATGATACTGCCATCTTGTGCCAGTGCTCAAGATGAGCTTCTACCTCTGAAGTTTACAAATGATAGTTTCTGAACAACATTTAAATCCTAATTTAGTTTAAAGTACAACTGTTCAACATGTGCAGTTTTGTGTGCTTTATTAGTACCTGAACCCCAGCTCCACTTGTAGTGTGCCTATTGTCTACTGAATGACAATGATGTCATTGTAACTGTTCATTCATTCAAACATTCATTACATATTATACTTTTAAATTTAAGATGACTTGAATCTGCCATTCTAGATTTCTGAGAATTCATCAACTGTGGTAATTGACTATTTAGATTTTTATTTAAATTGCTAAAGAAAAATAGCACATTTACACATTGGTTTTCTTAATTATTTATACATTTTAATTATAAAATAATACTGAAATGAAAGAAAGGAGGATTAGATAGTTTAATTTACAGACATTAACGGCGTGCATTGTTTAGTCCTATTTTCTGGTCCTTGCTTTGCCCAAGTAATCCATTTGTGTTAGTGCAAACGCAGGAATATCTTTTATGTAGGACTGGGTAATGACAGAGGGTTTATTTAGAAATTAGATCATGTAAACCCAAGCTTACAAGCTAATAACATAGGACCAGACATTTGCATCCGAGATGGCTAGCTTGGCATATCATCCTCAGGAAACAGTGCTCTGACTGGCATGATTTCAGGTCTGGGAAGGGCTGGATGCAGGTGTAGGATGGTGGAGAAGCCCAGTGCTTCAGCCACAAACTAGAGACAAACACAGGATCTCCCAAGCAAGCCGTTTTCAAAGGTCCTTTTGGTTCTAAGGAACTCCGTCCCAATTGATTTGTTAAATAGTAAGTCCACTAACCGCCTCATTTCATCACCATCCTCCCAGTGGCACTTTATAACCTCCATTCCAACTCATGCCTCCTGTAACCTCCGCATCCACTCCCTTTGACTTTTTCCCTCCCCTTTCCCGTCTTACACCCATTACCTTTTGTCCTCACACCTTGCATGTTGATTGACCAAGTGTCTGTCGGGGCAGATCTCAACAGCTATGTTGAGATGAAATAAAATAAGATTTATCTATTTATTACAGCTTTCACCATAAAATGCAAACACTCTCATTCATGAAAGCCCATTCCATATTCTAGCTCCTTAGTCTCTCATAGAAAAAAACTTCTCTTAATTCCACATCAAATACAGCTAATCCTTTAATAACCTCTTTGAGCCATCAATCAAACTTTGATCTTGCAATACTCATTATGATTAGATCGTGGAAGTTGTTAACCCCTTAATGGCAAGACTTACTGCCAACAAACCGCAATTGAAATTACTAGGGCACTTTTTTCAATTCTAACAGACACCTGTGGGCAACAGTTTTCAATTTTGAAATGTTTAGCCAATTTAAATAAAAACAACAGTCTTTCAGTGCTACAGACTTTATTTGCCCTTCAAGAACATTAACAACCTCCTAAAGATTCACAATTCTTGTACCACAGGATGAGGTACATGTTTCAGCAAAATTACTTAAACTTGAGTTGAATTGTCCTTGTTGAATTTGGGTTTTCTCATTTGGAAACTCATATCCCACTTCAGTTTCTCTTCCTCCACCATGCTCCATTCAAAACAGACAGGGAAGGACTGCAGATCTGGTCCTCTGCTTGCCATTTTTAAAGATTGCCAGTGTCTTCATGACTGGAACTATTTTCAAAGTTAAAAGCAAAGATTTTGAGATGATAGGCTGAAGTTTACCAGTCAGAACTATGAGATTAGTAAGGAAACATAGCAACCCATTTCAACAAAATGAGGACAAGAACAAGGAGGTAATTGACCCCCACCAAATGTGATTAAACTGAAGATGATAATGTTCCATAGACTAGTAGGAATTCATTAACTCTGAAACACTCAACAAAGCAACAGCTGTGAAGATAAAGTAAGAGTTAATCTGTCAGGTGGAACTCTACACCTGTACTTCAGTATTTCAGCATTTTCTGTATTTATTTCAGATTTCCAACTTCTGACATTTTACTTTTTAAGAAATTGTGGCACCAGACTTTTGCAACAGTTAACTAAGACATAAATGAAGGAAATCTTGACTAAGTTACATGCACAAGCTTGCCTGAAATATTTGTAACTACGTGTAAAATGTGTAATGTTGTAACATTAGTGAAATGTAAGAAGACAGAATATTGAATACTAGGCATCAAATCTTTGCCTGCCTTGTTTTATTTTCCTGCAATCCCCTCTCTACCTTTCCAGTCTCTTCCTCTTCTCTTCCTCCCCAACATCACCAGTAGAATGTTCAACTTGTTTTGGCCAGATATACTTGCACTCTGACCCTAATTATTTTAGGCTTAAAGCCCAGTTATTTTATCATGGTAGAATCTCGTTGCATTAAGAGTCTAGTCTGCTGGCTGGAGGACCAAAATGTTGTAATGTGGATCCTCACCACCGCTTATCATGGTAAAAACAAAATTGGATAGATTTGCTCCCACCTTCTCTTTTTTTCCTGGCAGTGACGTGCAGGGCCTTCTTGGTTTAGTATGGTAGAGAACAGCCACTGGGTAATGTACCAGAAAGAGGCTGTTGTGTGAAGCAAGATGTAGTTTGTTGCATGATAGCGATGAAATACAAATTACCTTGGTACAATAATCGCAGTAGTAATATCTATGTGGGAGACCTCAACATTAGGTCTTTGTACTTCAAGGTTTAAACATGTTGTTCTTCCTGTGTCCTTAGGCCATTACACCCATAATTGGGTGGCTTAAAGCACCATTAATTGTCCAGTTACACCCTTGTACAACATGTGAGAAACTTGCATTGCTTTTTCTCAGACAGACATTTCGAACCACAAACCAGTCTGGCAGTGGCAAGGTGATGGGACTTCCTCTGGAATCACCAGCCAATCGGGCTGGCAGCTCTCACATCAGCAGTGCCACTGAGGATGCCGTGACTGCTCCAAGAAGAACTTTCCCTACCACTCCCCCTCCCACCCCCTAAACAGAGTTCCGTAATCACTGAAGACCACAGTGGGTAATGTAGGGGGTCTTCACACGTTGGGGATTATGGGAAGCAAGGACAGGCATGTGTGGTTCTCAATCGGCTATTAGTTGGTCATCTAAGGGCCTTGACTGACAGTGGGATGGGTAGGTCCGACATGGGCCTTCCCACCAAAAACAACACGCAGGTGAGAAACGAGTGCAACCACTGACTTAATTACATGCCCTTACCACCTCCAAGCTCACAACCCATGAGAACAGGAGATTCCACTCCACATCCTTGATCATTTTCCATAACTGTTAGCCAATTATTCCTTGTTATCCATAGTTTTCCTAAGCACCTTGGAACACAATGTTTGAAGCAATTTCAAAGGAAAATTGATCGAGACATTGTTTATATTATTAATTATCAGGAGCTGGACTGGGGAATGAATATGCTAATTAATTTATCATTATGCAGGTTATTTTGTTGCCTTTGGTATATTAAGGTGTTCTGTGGTGAAATCTGTACTTGTGTGACTTTTCTTTCCTTTTGGCTCATGATATACACTTAGAGCTGGCACAAATATATTGGTGGCTGTTTTTCAGCTGCAGTCATTTATTGTTAAAGAGCTAGATCAAATGTTGCTGTGGGTCGTTTGATTCATTTAGATTAACCATTTCCTTCTCATTTACTATCATGTACATCTCCTTCTTCAGACTGGCAAATCCAAATAGTAAAATTAAACTAATGAATTTCCAATACAACTAATTAGATTGTATTTGTATTTGTATTTGTATTTGTTCTTTGCAGAAATGATTGCTGTTAGCAGAATGATGGTCCTTAATCCTCAGATCATTGCTGATCATCCATTTTTCTTTCTGATCAGAAATCGGAGGACAGGTAATTTCCTAACACCAATGTATCAGCACTAACAGCAAAGATTAAGGTCACATTTTGTATGTTAGTATTACACAACACAAAAAGACATTTATTATGAATAACACACTGCCCTAAAAATATAATACTAAATCTCCTGCTAAAAATTGTGGAAACAAACAAATTGTTACTTTATTAGTCAAGGAATTAATCCAGAGCTATGTATTATTAAAAAATATATAAATTGACTGGATAACTGTAACTAACTTTATAATCTAAGACTGACCTATTCCTCTTCCATTCTAGGTACCATCCTGTTCATGGGCAGAGTCATGCACCCTGAAGATATTAATCCAAATAGACATGATTTTGAAGCTTTGTAGATGCACCAGTTCTACACTGATAATGCCTCACTTAACAGCTTTTCATTCATAAATGATGTGTTTTGCAGTTTTTGCACTTTTACAGTCTGGTAATTTTTGTCATAACTAGCTGAAGTAAAAGAATAGAGAAAATTTGTAGGAAATGTCTGTATTTACGAAATGTTTGTACTACTATTATTGTACCGTCACCTTCATCTCTTAAATACGTGAACATTGTTCCATATTTATAACATTCTAAACTATTTAATTATGAAGCCCTTGGTAATACTCTTAATGCTACAATGGTAGTTTTAAAAATAAAGTGAAAATTATGTGCCTTTGCTTAGATATTTGTATTTCATTTCAGTATTTTCAGGGTTGCAGGTAGAGTGTTCCAGAAATCACCCAAGTGGCCTTTCCCTCGCACCCACTCCAACCTATCCACACATTAACAATAGAACAGGCAAGATACAGGCTAACTCTTCGCTGTCCTTGCCACAATTGAGGACCTTAAGTAGACTATTAATGACTAACTACTGACCTCAATTTTGAGGCTGGCTGGAGGTTAGGAGGACTGGGGAAGGCTCGCTCCTTGGGCTTCCCCTTCCAATTTCAGGATTAGAGTGTTAGCCAATCAAATTAGCAGATCAGGCAGAGCTTACACTCGAACAAGAAGCAGAAGCTCCGTCTTTAGCTAAATGGCTGCAGGACTGTCCCTGTTGGCAGGGGTTGTGTTCCCTGCTGATGCTTAGGATGGCAGGGTGGAAAACCCTGCCATGTGAAAATGTCCTGTTCCTGTGTGACAGTCTGGCTTACAAATTTTTATTGTTTAAAGATATAACAATATGAGAAAAATGTCATTTGAATTTTCTTGTGTAAATGAAATGAGCCAAATGGTAATTACGTGTGCAATAGCCATCTGCCCATTCTCAAACAGCAGTTTCCAAGGACCCTGTAAATCATGATGTAATGCTGAAGTCTATACCCACTTTTCTAAGTTACAACTCACAATTTTACAACTTTATACTTTCACCTGGCATTGGTTACTATACAAAAATGCTCTGTTAGAATATGGATTTCTGATTGCCATGCTGTTTTATTACAGTGACACTTGAGGAGTAATGTGCTGTGGATAAAAAAAATCCTGTCCTTTTATATGTTTCACTTATGCACCACATCTCAAATACTGTGAGCAGTTTTAGTCTCCTTATCTAAGGAAGGATATAACTGTATTGGAGGTTGGTCAGAGAGGTTTTACTAGATTGATACCTGGAATGAGTGGGTTGGTTATTGGATAATTGGACAGGCTGGACTCGTTTCCACTAGAGTTTAGGAGAGCGAGGGGTGAACTGATTGAAGTGTTTCAGATCCTGAATACTCCTGACAAATGGACATGGAAAGGATGTCTCCTGTTGTAGTGAGTCCAGAACTAGGGGACACAGTTTTAAAATTTGGTGTCACTCTTTCGAGATGCTGATGAGGAGTACTCTCTGCTTTAGTATGCAGTGAAGGTATGTTCATTGATAATTTTTAACATGAAATTATGTCGATTTTATTAGGCTGGGGTATCGAGGCTTATTGTGTAGATAAAAGTCTTATTGAATACTAGAATAGGCTTGAAGGGCCAAATTGCCTACTTCTGCTAAGCACTTCTCTTTCATTTTGGCACCCTTGTTAAGCACTTTCATTCCAATCCTTTATAGCTTTGAAGTTGTGGCTACACAACAGTATAGTGCTGATTCGGAAATGACAACAATGTTTGACGTGTGTAAGGTGGTTTTGTTCTGACTGAGTGCTGGTGCTGAAATTGTCGCAAACATTGGCCAGATATCAGTGATTGGATTGACAGAATGGTGAGCAAGTGGGCTGAACATTCTGAATTTTCCAGCTTATAAAAATCATTGTGCCAATAAGGTGTATTTAAGTACTTGGGTTTCAAAGGTTATCCTAGCACTGCTGGCTCATACATGGTTAAATGGGTGGATACAGTATTTTCAGAGAGAATCCCTACAGTGTGGAAACAGGCCCTTCGGCCCAACAAGTCCACACCAAACCTCAGAGCATCCCACCCAGACCCATCCCCATATAACCCACCTAATCTACACATCCCTATGGGCAATTTAACATGGCCAATCCACCTAATCTGCACATCTTTGGACTGTGGGAGGAAACCTGGGTATGGTTCAACATGTATGATGTGCAAAACTATTCCATTTATGGTAGTTTATCTAGGTATTTAATGAAAAAATGTTTGCTCATATTTAAATGTTTTCAGAAGATGGAATTTGAGTTGCATTTAATGGTTAAAAACCATCTGCAGTGATTTTCCTGTTCTGAGGATAAGGAAACACCTATAAATGTTAGAAGTTAAATGTAAAATCCAACGAAAAGCATATTCTAAGTCTGTTTCAACTTCTGTAAAGGGGGAAGAAAATATTATAACAGCTTTGTCTGTAAGCCCTTTATCAGACCATTGTTTTTTCCCCCTCCTTACTGGTACTGGCTCATCTGAAGTGCATCTCTATAATTTTCTAGTTTCATCATTAAACAATGTGCAAAATTATGTCATCAGCTTTTGTGATGAATTGACTACAGAAAACTTGGAGGAAAATAACCCAGGATGATGTAAATTATCTTCCAAATCTGGCCCAGGGAAGGCTAGTGCTTGGTAAGAATTGGTGCACATGTTCAATTAGCTGGTGTCCTTTATAACCAGTTATAATGAATTTTAGGTTCAGCTAGGTGCATTCACAAATATGCACCTCAAAACTTCAAGCTTTACTGTGCAAAAAAATTTGCATAAGCTTAGGAAATCATTAGAGTGTAGCAATTCTTCAAACTATTACTTAAGAGTGCTAATTCTCCAAGAACCCATATGTTCCTAAGAAGTCCACCATATTGTTTAAACCCTGCAATCCCAAGCTTGCTATTGGATGTAGGTGGTATTTTGGGGTTTGCTGTATAGCTCTTTGTACGTAACTGGAAGTCCTGGAGATATCATCAGCACAAACAGAAAAATTTTAAACTTCTAAATGCTCAAAGCTTGCTAAAAGGTTATTGAACAGGTGGTGAGTAAACTCTTGTTCATGGATGACTGCACTTTCATTGTACGTAGTCTGGAGTGTGTAAATTTGCTTCTGGACCACTCTGCCCTACCCACAGAAGTCTTAAGAAGATGAAATCTTCTATCCGTCACTATCAACAATGCACTTCTCCATTCAGTATAAACATATTGCTATCTTCAGAGTATCACATCAATAGCACAGCACTGGTTGAATAAATCAGCCATCACCTAGCATGATCAAAGTCTACCAGGCAATGGCTTTCGTATCATGTTTTTATAGATACGTGACTTGGATAATGTATCAGCATTTCACAAAGCAACCAGATAGAAGCATTCCATTCTCACACTGTGTCTGTTTACAACATCAGATAATCTAGACAGAATGCTGACTCTGAGGTTCTTGCAAAGTGCTGTGTACCTGGCATTGAAAGCATGCTCATGCAAGCTCAACTTTGCTGGGTCAGTCATGTGGTTCACATACAGGATTCATGGGCTCCAAAGGCAGTGCTCTACAGCCAGCTGAGCATGGGAATCCATTGCACTGGACATCCCAAACCAAACAAAGACAATCTGAAAGCCAGCATCAGAGCTTGCAATCTGGTTCCCAATACATGGAGAAAAGCCACCTCAGATAGCCTTTCATCAACTGATTTAGACATTTCACTAGAACAGGTAATTGCCTTCAGGACAAGAGTAGCATAGTAGCAACACCTCAATTCAACCTTCCAACACTGACTTCACACAATATTTGCAATCAGTTTTGTAACTCATGATTTGGGTCCTGTTTTTTTTTGCCAGGTTGGAGAGCATCTGTGGAAAATATGCTATCAGGTATTAGAAGTTCCACCCCCAAACATGCATCTAATTTCACAGGGACAAGTTTTAGGGCAGACTTTTTAAATGACCAGCTGTCTCTTCTGAAGTGGGACTTTAGAGTCTCTGGTGTCTGGAATCCAGAGTAAGGCAATTAGACCAGGTAAGAGTATGATTGTTCTCTGTGCATTCTGTTTGATTTCACAGAGTGTACCTTGTGGGGGTATGAGTCATGGATCCTGTCAGACGTGGGGATGGCAGGTATGGATATGGGACTGTTACTTGTGGGAAAGATTGTGTACGGAGCATTTAAGCATATTTTAATGTGAATAAAAGTTCCTTCAGATCTAAACAACTTGTTGAGATCTGTGGAAGTGTCTAGAAATCTCAATTAATGTATGAACAAGAGTGCTTTTCTCAGTGGAGTGTATTCTTCAATATAGAAATTTAAATAACAGAACTTTTTATCTGTCATCCAACTTTGGTATTTGTGGAGCTTTTCAAATTCATTCATGGGATAGGAGTGTCAGTGGTTGGGCTGTCATTTATTGTCCCTGAGAAACTGGTGGTGACCTGCCTTGAATTACTGTAGGGACACCCACGGCATTTATACGAAGGATGTTCCAAGGTTTTGACCCAATAATAGTAAAAGGAAAAAACCATATGGTTCCAAATCAGGATAGTGGGTGACTTAGACGGGAACTTGCAGATCATTATTGGTATCACCATGTATCTGCTATCTTTGTTCTTCTAGATGGCAGAGGTCACAGGTTTGGAACCTGCTGTTTGGGAGGTTTGGTGAATGAAAGCAAAAGATTGTAGATGCTGGAAATTTGAAACAAACACAGAGAATGCTGGAGAAACTTGGCAGGTTTGGCAGCATCTGTGAAGAGAGAAACAAAGTTAATATTTCATGTCTGGTATGACTTCTTCAGAATTGGTAAATTTTTGGGTACATTTAGGCACTAAGTTTGCATTAGTGTATGAAAGGCTTTGAGGGATGGATAAAGGGTGGGGAGTATTGATAGGGCATGGGGAGTATAAAGTGGGGGGGAGCGCACGGAGAAGGACTGGCTGTAAGTTTTATAAACTTCCTTTGCGTGATAATGTACCCTTTTGAATCTGGTCTAAAGGCAGTTTAATGGAGGTAAGATGCCCTTTGAGACTGTAAAAACAGGCTTGTTCCTAAAAAATATGTAACCTCATCAGAACTTGAAAAACTGGCAAGAAACTGTCCAAATAAGACGGCATTTTAAAAAAAAAAGTATGTATTTGAGAGTACCTATTTCTTAAAAATCATTAAAGAATTTGTGCTGCACGATTGGTTTCCCAAACTATCATTTTAATAACGGGGTCCCTATTGAGTATTGCTGGACTTCTTATTGAATGGAAATGTTTGTTGATGTAAGGTATTAAGCATTTGCGTGACACGTTTTATTGATGTAAAGAATTTGCTTAATGTAATGGATGCT